CAAATATAACCTTGCCACAAATGTAGCAGAAGTTATCTGCATTCTTTACGCAGTTTCGAGGCATCTTGGCTTCTGAGGGAAAATATCGTGCAACTGTTCCTTGGAAATGTTAGGCAATGACACTTTCACAAGCCACCAGATGTAACTTTTTGATGCGTAGATCAAATGTACCTTGCAATAAAAGAACAATAAATTACAGTTAGGTAATAATCTTTAGTCTCAAAGTCAAGATAAATTTATACATTTCCATGTGGAACCATTTTCATTGTTCTACTGTACTTTGTCAAGAAGTTAGAGGCATCATATTCATCAGACACCTCCCTCCCTTGTAGGTAAATATACTTGCCTGTGTATAAATCTTTATTGTGAAATGTCTTGAAAACTTTAGCCAACCAGCACCTTTATCACCTGTGTTTTAATTCATCTAATCAAAATATGTAAGAATCTGCACATTTTATCTCAGAGGTTGATAATTTCCCAAAATTTTTAATTTGACACTAAATTACACCATCCCATTCTAAGTGAATGTCACTGACCTTTTGGGGTTTATGACGATGCAAATAAAACAACTCAGTGGAAGGGACTCGTCAAAATCAGATGCTAAGATACCATATCAAAAGCTATTAAGAAGTTTCCTATATAATACTTTTACTTAGAATTGGTCCGGGTTACAAAAATATCAATGGCTTTCTATTCCACACTAAAATCTTGCCCTAAAAGCATGCTGAATTTTCTTCAAGGAGCTCTACCCAAGTGAAAAGGACTGCCACCCAAAATAATATTTTACAGCCAACTTAGAAAGACATGTTGCTTATCTGTGACTATAGTTTTCCAGTTGTCATCTGTGTATTCACACATTTGGACTCTGCCCCTGCATGGGGCCTCATTTTGGCATCTTCTCAAGCTGAGGAATTTCAGGTGGGAACCCCTCCCCATTTTAGCATGTGCTACTGTGCCTGCCCCTAGCAGGTTTCTACCTATCCCTTTAGGTCCTTGAGACCAACAATTGTGGCACTGCAACTAAGAGAGTATCCTGGCATTAACATCAGGAGTGCCTTTGCCCATATATTCCACCTTGCTGCTAAGGTCCTGAGGATAATCTTCTGAGGTAAGGTTAAGGTCATCTATCCAGGAGACCTTTTCAGTGGTGATCCCTAAGCTGTGGAATGGTCTCCCAGGAGAGATGCATCTGATTTCTTAAATACCACCCCCTCTTTTAAGAGGAAGTTCAAGATGCATCTTTTCCCAGATTGGTTCTCATGTCAATTTTACTTAATATGTTGTCCAGTCAATTTTGATTACTATTGGTTTTAATTTCTTGTAAACCACCCAGAGCCTTTGGAAATGGAGCGGTATATAAATGCTAAATAAAACAGCAACACAGACCTTAGTGTCAAACCGGATTACCAATTTCTGTTCTGCTTCTTGAGCTTGAGGTCAGTATGGGTTGATGGGTAAGGTTATGGGAATGCACAGAGGATCATTCAAAGAACAACAGTTAAGCAGTGAGCAATCTGTTTTTCTTTGTGATCTCTGTGCATCATGCATATGGGTGAGTAGCAAGCTGGAGGTGGGATTATATAATAAGTACAGAAAGAGAGGATAACTCTTCCAAATTAACAGTCTGCTTGGGAATCTAGTCCATAATGATGGATGAAGGTTTTAACCCAGGTTTTGACATGGGACACTTCTGCCAAATGCCACAGAAATAGCTCCACCTCATGTCAAGTGCACTCTCAGCAGTTCCATCCCTGACAAGTCACATGCTAATTTGATCATTTGAAGTAACGGTGGAGCTAAGCTTCGTAATGAAACAAGTAAACAAATTCTTGCCTCCAAGCTGTCAAACAGAGTATTTTGATGTCTGGGTGCCACAGGACTGTCCTGTTCTGAAAAAGCAAGCTCTGTAGCATGGGAAGGTGATAGAATTCCCCCAGTTGCTAGGATGAAGAGGGAAGCAAACCACACCCGTCATGTCCACCAAGGTGCAATTAGGATCCTGTCCATTTTGTCTGATTTCAGTTTCATCAGATGTGTGTCAGCAACAGTGGAACAGTGGAAGAAGCAAAACAGAGCTCTTGTCTAACTGATGAGAGAGCACCAATCTCTTAGGGAATTCCAACTAGTTCTAGCCCAACTACAAAACACCAGGCACATTAACACCTTCACTGAAACCAGGTGTGAATGCTCCATTTTTCAGAGGCTGTAGTACATTCAGGTGAAGCAGACAAGTTGAGAAGCCTGCAATGATGCTGTTCATCCCAGCAATGTGGATTGCTGTGAGGGAGATGTCTTATAGCAGCGGTCCCCAAATTTTGGCACCAGGGGCTAGTTTAATGGAAGACGGTTTTTTCCACGGATTGGGTAGTGGGGATGGTTTCGGGATAATTCAAGCACATTACAGTGGTGCTTCATACTTCAAACTTAGTTGAATGAACTCTGAATCATTTGAAGGCAGAAGTAATGTTCCCCATTAGAAATAATGGAAAGTGGATTAATCTGTTCCCATACCCCAAACAACTTAAACAGTAAATATGCATAATTTAAGGTAAAAATAACATAATTAAATGCCACATTTATTAATTAAAACTTGAAAACAATAAAAATGTAAATATGTACAGTACTGTATAATAAAATGAAAACTGCATTTACTGTCCAAATGTTTTAGTGAGGAGTGGTGAAGCAGAAAAGGATCAAGAAGGCAGTGGGAACAATCAGGAAGGCAGGCAGTCAAAAGGCACTGAGAAGGATCAAAGGGCAGTGGGAAGGATAGGGAAGACAGGCAGTTAAAAGGCATTGAAAAGGATTGAGGAGGCAATGAGAAGAATTGGGAAGGCAGGCAGTTAAAAGGCACTCAGAACAATAAAAAATGCACTCAAAAGGATCAAAACAGCATGCAGTGAAAAAGCACAGACGCAACAAGAGATGATAGATGACTTGGGCACACAACTGATGTTCATGCAGCAACCACATTTTTTTTCTCTATGGCTGTGACCTGAGCTTAGAAGCATAGCTTGAACTTTGAAGAGGTTTTATCTTGACTCTAATGTTCAAACTCTGGATCTTGCCTGCAGCCTACCTCCTGCTGCAGCCATTTCCTAACAGGCCACGGACTGGTCCATGGCCCGGGGGTTGAGGACCCCTGTCTTATAGAATACAGCAGTGCCATATCTGAGTTGCCAGTGACTGTGTCCATCCTTGCTTGTTGACATATACATATTTCTGTAGCTACCTGGCCCCAAAGCACTGCACTGAATATCTGGAGGGTATTCTTAGTAGCTAACAGTTTAAGTAATTGCTGTGATGACATTTTTTTCTTGCTCCCTGTCTGGTAAGTGTTTTGCAATGGGGAAATCAGCCCATGTTTGATACATCAGTCATGCAGACTCTTGAGGGGTTGAGCAAAGGAAAGCCCTTGCTGATAATTGCCCTTTTTATCTGCCATGCAGGGAATATTGGATTGGATCAAGTATGGTCACACAGATCTGAGAAACAGTGGAGGTAGTGAATGAACCAATTTTGCAGCAGTTGCATTAGAAGATGAGCAAATGCGACCATAGCTATCATGGCTGCCATTAGTCCAAGCAGGCATTTTACCTGGTAGGTGTTTGTCTGAGGGTAGCAGTACAACTTGGCTGCTAGTACTACTAAAACCAAGACTCGGTCCCAGTGTAGGCAATTTTGCCAGTGGGAGAGTTGCATATTGCTCCTATATAATGGATCACCTGTGATATCTTATCTGGAGGAGGATTCAACTGATGAAGGAGAGGGGGACAGCCAGCGTTGCAAGCCCTAGCCAGAGCCAGGTGGAGAACTGGAGGCTTCAAATGACAGTCTCCCCATGGAGCGCTCAGAGAAGCAATGTGGCCTCTCTTGGGCCATTCCTGAATTTTCCCAAATGTAGGGCTCAGCGCAATTAAGCCCTCTCAACGGCATATGATCAAACATGCACAGCAGAAGTTCAGATAGAAGGCAAAGTGTGGGGGTATTCCTTTAAAGCAACATACTCACCCAATTAGCCTGCTGTGCTAATTTATGACCAACAATAAAACAACAGCTAGAGACAGCTTACTGATGTAAAGTGGAATATTTCAAGTCTGTGATTTGTCTTACTTTACTGGACCTAACAGACTCGGGCTACCCACCTTGATCACTCTCTCAGACATTCCCAACTGACCTAGACATTTGGTATGCCAAACCTCATGGGCTGAATTCTAGACTGCTTTGATCTCACTGCTGCCTGCTTCTGTTATCTATACTGGAATTCTTATGAATAATTCTGAACTGGACTAGTTCCTTTCTGTGTTATTTCCGAAGATACCTCATGCTTGACCAAGGCACTTATGGGCCTAGGAGCAGGTTGCCACCTGTATGGGAGTGAGTGTCAATAACTGACATAACAGGCTGAGTGAATGCAGAAGGGCACAGGTAAGAAGAAAAGATTAATTAAGTCCTTGATCCATTGGGGTGGCAAGCAATCAATTCTCCAGGTAAGGATAAATCTGGACACCTTGATGAAGACTAAGTACCCACTTGGTAAAAACTCTCAAAGCCTTTGCCAAGTTGAAAGAGAGGGTGCAAAAGTTGTATGTAATGGATCCAGTGCTATAATGCAAGTAGTGTTGGCTGGTTCCATTGATCCCAAGGTGAAAATAAGCCTTCCTGAAATCCACTGCTATGAACCAATCTCCCTTATGATAGATTACCACTTTGTATGATGTTCAGTGCCTTTGGGCACCATTCTTTCTACTGTTTCACCATTCTTTTTACAATCCTGGAGGCCGTAAATAATAAATAAATGTATCTATTTATACATGTATTTATACATGCTCCAGCATCATTATTCTTTCTATACCATCCCATGGTCAAAGCTCTGGGCAGTTTTCAACAGTGACAAGATGATTTACAAGAAATTGGCCAGTTGTGCACTGATGGACCTTTCTGTCCCTTCTGCCTTATCTGCTTCCTGTGCTTCCTGTACCTGGCTTCATATTGTGATGGACCCAAGAGAAAAGATGGAAGTGCTGCTGGGTATATGCTTTGGTGATCCTGAAGGAGGTGTTCAGCGTGTTTTGGATGCAGTTTGGCTGCTTCCATGCTGCCCACTTTTACTTTCTCTCTTCTAGCCATTTGTATTGTTTTTCTTGGTGTTCTTGTTTGATTATAGTTTACATTGTTTTGTTTTATCTTAAGATGTGTTAAGCCACCATAAGTGGGCATTTTGCCAAGAAAGATGGGCATTACAAATGAATGAATAACTGAAAGATTCCATATCTAAAATAATTTTAAAAGATTGCTTAAACTCCATTAAAGTTAAATAATTTAAAATTTCTTCTGGAAACAGAAGGTACAAAATTAGATCAAGAGAGAGATACATACCATCACATAATAAAATAAGTATACAAAGAAGTTGATACTGGTCAAATTGGTGAGGATAAATAGGACAGAAATGGACAGACCACAGAACTAAACTTACCAGGGGGTGCTATATGATCATCCTCTGGAATTAAAAAAGGTAAGAGTTTATAAGCAAGAGATTATTGCACTACTATTCAAAAAAATGCTGGTAATGATTGACAACAAAAGAAGGGGAAGGCAGAGGATGAGGTGGCTGGATGGAGCCACTGAGGCAGTGGGTGTGAGCTTGGGTGGACTCTGAGGGATGCTGGAGGACAGGAATGCCTGGGGGAATGTTGTCCATGGGGTTGCGATGGACTGTGACTAATCAACATTCCAGAAAATGCCAGCTGCAGAAAATATGAAATTAACTCCCTCCTGAAATTTCTCCTCAGCAAACTGTGATGTCAAATGGACATTTTTAAATATTGAAAGATAAGATGGGCAGTCAGAACATCTAGTATTTGCATTTGACAACCAGGAATGTTGAGTTTTAATAGTAAACATTAGCCACTGATATTTAACAGTGCTTGTGTTGACATGTTAATTGTGAATTAACTAATTCTGTAGTCATGCCCTTCAGATTTAACAATATTTGATGGCTGACATGGAGTGATTCTTAGTGTTGAGCATCTGGCATGAGATTTCATTACATATTAATCTGCTGAAATTTAGTATAACAATCAAAGATGCTGTCTATTCTGTATTTGAATTTTACATGCAAAGATAAACTTATATTTTAAATGCAAATTGAACTTTTATTTCAAACTTTCAGGATATGAATGGCAAAACTTGAAATTTCAGTACCTTTCGGATACTCATATGTTTGTCATCAGCACCACCAAGCCTTGTCCAGAAATGAAGGCAAACTGTTTATAAAATTTTATAAAAAGAACTAATTCTGAGGTTTTCGCTACATGAAGCTTTTAGCCTGCCAAGGTTTTTATATCTGGATGCTTTGCAGGATTAAGATTGGTTCCTTTGCCTGTGCGGTTTTTTCCCCCCTGGTTTCTTTTTCCAGGCTTTACTGTATGTTTGATTATACAACCATAAGGTGGCACTGCAGTATAATGGAACTGCAAAATTACACAAACTTCTCATCAGATGACTTCCAGATAATACCCAAACTCTTGATCTTAAAAAAAGCTGGTGAAATGGTTACAAAGCATGATAGAGGCCCTGAGAGATGGAGATGTTGTATATAGCACCAACAAGCCACCAGGAGTGAGGAATGAGCACAAAAAATGCTTTGTACAGAATGTCCTAAGAAGAGGGTGAAATGTTTTTTCCTCCCTTAGAGAAAACATGTCATCATGTGCTTTTACCTGGCCCGTCTTCTACCTTTTCTCCAGGATCAGGCACAACTGCGGGTAGAAGAAATAAAGTTAGTGTGTACGTGTATTTGTGCATGCGCATGTGTAATAGATAAGAACGGGAATTGAACCATTAAAAAACAAAAGCATTTCTTCCACCCACAGCTCATTTCACAAGAATTCATGCTTTGAAAATCTTAGGCAAGCCCTTAAAAACCGTAACTCTGTATCAGTCATGACACTGGGGGCAGATGTGGAAAAAGAAAAAAACTCACCAAAATCATCTTTTGAATCGATGGGCAATTTTATATTAGACACTCTTGAAGAAACAGATGGTGACTTTCTATGCACTGATTGTTTTGTATCCAGCTCTGGGGACAGTAGCACACATCTACCTACTATGATAGCAAATCTGGGAGCAGGAAGGGCATAAATGAGAGTATAATGAGATGAATTACCCCATGCCTGCACACAAGCAGTCTCAGTTCCACTTCTAGAACATCCCTATAGCAGAGAGAACTTGGCTAGAAAGAAGAAAAAGCAAGGAGGGGTAGAGCAAAATAAGTTACAGTTCAGTTTTCACTGTTTCATTGTCATTCCCTCTTCAATTGGGAGTGGCACTGCTTGGAATTACTAACAGAATTCCTGATTGCATCAGCTCTTACAGCAGAATTGGCATACACTTCTTATAATCTAAATATGCCTTTTGGAGTGGGAGAAAAAACAGGTTGTAGCATAAAGATGATGGCATTTTTAATAGTATTTGATTGTGTTTACTTATATGTTACAATGTGCAGCTCTGTGTGGTATCATCATTTAATAACATTTTGATATTCATAATGAACAACTTATGGTTATATGGATTCCAGTAATCATTTAAATATAGTAGCTCAAGGGGGAAATCTGAATTGGGGAGATTTGATCGTGAAACACGTGGAGAAAGAGATCTCCCTTGTTAAATATTTCCTGGGAAGGTGTTCAAACCTCAACAATATTGGTTTAGGATTTTTCTCAAAAACATAAACTCGATTCATTTACATTTAATAGAATATTTTGAATGAGCAGAGAATCTGTGTGGAATAGGAAACACGGCGTTATTGGAACTAGGTAACAGTGGCCAGGAAAACGGAATAATAGGAAGAGGGAGAGTCATGGCAACAGTTGCTAGGAGAAACAGAAGGTTGAGAAGAGGGTGGTTAAAAAAAGGCAGAGAAGAGAAGGACAAAGGAAGGGAGATTTATCTTTCTGAAGAGGGAGTTTAACCATAGACGCAGCCAGCAAACAGCACTAAGGACCCACTGGATCAACAACAAACTGAATAGTAGTAGTGGAAGTAGTAGGTCTGCTGTGCAGAAGGCACCAGAGAGGCAAGCCGTCGAAGTGAACGAGCTAAGGCACTCTCTGTGCACACACATCAAGGAACCTCAAACAGTGACGATAGCGTGACCTAAGTGGAGGAGGGAGGGAAATTTATTGCTAGTTATTTAAAACCTACTAAAATCCTGTTGATACGTACATGCTTGTCCGGGTTATTCAATTCTCATCTTAGATGTCCATTTAAGCAATTTGTGGCGCCAGTTGCCACATGTGAAAACAACTCATATAAGAACAGCAGTACTCTTATATACTGTGCTCAAAATAAAATCAACTCTATTTGCAAAATCCAACTCAAATCCAGCCTAGAGTAGACATGTTAGAATAAACAGAACTTATCCTATTCGTTTCAATGTGTCTACTATAAGTAGGAGCTCTGCTGGAATTCACCCGATTGTTTCAACTTCTCCATCTTTCTTCTCCCCCATCTGGCAACCGTCCACATTCTCCCCACTCTCCCTGGCAACCAGCCACACTGTTTCCATCCACCTGCTCCCAACTGTCCATTTCCACCCAGGGTCTATACTGTCGTCCCAGACTGTGGCCCTGATCCAAATCAAGACCCTGCAGCTGCTTTTACAAAATGAAATATTATGTTTAGCAACTCCAAACATGGAAGTCCAACTTAACATGTACTTTGGCCCATAAGGTGTTTCCTAACCAATTATCATTAGATAATTAGATTCATTTCAATCTAGAAAATTCATTTCAATCTTTTCACTGAGAGACGATGGGGGATGGACTGCCCTTGATCCTCCTAGGCCAGGGGTGGCCAGACCTGGTCAACGGAAGAGTCACATACGGTAAATGTCAGATTTTTGAAAGCCACAGGTGGGCTTCTATGGGCAGCAATAATGAGCAGTGAGCAGCAGGTGGGCACCTGTGAGTGCCTGCAGCACCAAGCAAAATAAACTCAAAGAGCTGCATGCAGCTCCTGAGCCTTGGTTTGGCCACCCCTGTCCTAGACTTTTTAGCTGCTCTCATTACCATCAACTATAGTATCCTTTTCTAACTATTGGCAGAACTGAGACTGGCGATGATCACATATAACACTGAACCAAGTTGTGCAGTTTCCATATGGCACGGTATCTTACCTTCTGTTCTGTGTTCACACATTCACGTAGTAACTCCTCATGAGTTGTTTCCAAATGCCTCCATCTTTCCTCAAAATGTTAGCACAAATCCCATCAGCCCCCATGGCTGGGAATCAATCCCAGCATGCACTGCTTCTGCTCACCTGTCCCCCATTGGCCTACACACTCCACTAGGCACGTTCTCTGCCAGCTACTGCTTTTTTTTAATACTGCCCCAGTTAGCCACTATCTGCTCATCCTGGGACAGTTGTGCTGAAGGAGCAACAGAGCAACACCACCCGCTGCTGCCCTGCCCCGTGCATATTCAGACACACGTGTAGCCGGCCACGCTTTTCCCTCTCCCTCACTGCATAAATGCCCAGTCTTCGCCCCCGCCTTGTGCCTCGCTTGCACATGCCGCCAGTGCCCCCTCACAGAAGGCAGCAGTGTGGACACCGGTGTCAGGGACGGGGGTAGTCTGCCCTGCCGTCTGGACAGCAGCCCAGGCAATTCTGCTGACAGGCTATCGCAGGGGTGGGGTGACTGCAAAAGACTGACAGGGACAGGGTGGAAGAACATCATTTTAATTGTTAAAATATATGATCTGACCAGGGCAACTTCTTCTTCCTTCTCTTTTCTCCTCCTACATTCTTTATTTACTTATTTTATACTGTTAATTTTAATTTTATATTCTTATGTTTGTATCTCAGTGTATTTTTTGTATTTTTGTATTTAGTGGTAATTTATTATGTTCTATTGTATTTCAATGTATTTTATTGTGTTGTAAGCCGCCCCGAGGCTTCGGCAAGGGGCGGCATAGAAATGTTATAACAACAACAACAACAACAACAACAACAACAACAACAGGAGACGTGGGCTCTGTGGGACACTCACTCGGCACAGGGCAGTGGCCAGGCATGAGTGCCACACGCGGCTGCCCTCGCACTCGCTGCGGCTGGAGGTGCTTCCATCCCGGTGGGCGCTCCCAGGAGTCCAACCACCCCGTCACTGACCATGGTGCGAGTGTGCCTGCTGCCGTGCCTGCTTTCCCTGGCCTTGTCACCTTGCCCAACGGGTTTCTTTGCTGAGACACCCACCGTGCCTGTTCCATGAGGTCTTGGGAGAAGGCGTGGTGGGCATTTCGGCGAGACAGCAAGGTGACGAGTATTTATTATTTATTTATTATGTATTAAAACATTTCTATGCCACCCCTTGCCGAAGCCTCGGGGCGGCTCACAACACAAAATAAAATAAAATACAATAAAATACAAAAATAACGATATAAAATTAGCAATATAAAATAAATAACAATATAAAAGAAGGCAAGATGATGGGACAAGGTGGGCAAGGTAAGGTGGGGTGGGAAGGCTGGCCTCACACCGAGGTGGCAGGATGGGGTGGCCAGGTTTCCGGGAGCGCACACCAGGAGAGAAGTCGGGGCCTGTGGAGACAGCCAGCCAGTGCCTTGCTGCCAGCGATGTGGCAGTTGGTAGGCGGAACAGGGCAGTGAAAATTGGCAGCTGGAGCAGCTGTGGGGGTTGCTTGAGCCACCAAACTTGCTGGTGTAAACCAGGAAACCGTGAAATAATATGGCAACTAAAGTCACACATAACAAGCAGTGCTGAAACGTGGATAGTTAGAACAGACCTTTGGTTTTCTATGGGGATTCACAGTAACCAAACATGCCACGTGTCATCATCATTGATGACTTCATACATAAGGTCAAGCAGTCTCCAACATGGCTTATCATTCTATGTAAACACTCCCTTTTACCGGCACTGTGTGGTTTTACATAGCCATATTAATTACTCTAGTTCTGAGGTATGCAACCAACATGTAATCTCCCACTTATTTATTTATTTATTTATTTATTTATTTGGGGCATTTCTAACCCGTCCAATTACTGTAAGTCTCTGGATGGCGTACAACAAATTGCCAATAAATGCATCCTAATAAAAATTTAATTATTTTTTAAAAATTAATTAAAACATTTATATGCCGTCCTTTGCAGCAGGCTCAGGATGGCTTACAGAAATAAAAATATCAATATAAATAACAATATAGTAATATAAATAGCATTAAAAACATTCCACAATAAAACAAATTAACAACAATATATCCTTTCCTAATTAAATACATCTTAATAAATACGTCATAACCCAAGACTAAGGATAAAAACATAGTTAAAAATATTTAAGCGTTAAAATACCAGGTCAATAAAAAGGTCTTCACCTGGCACCGAAAAGCATATAACGTTGGCACCAGGCGAACCTCTCTGGGGAGCGCATTCCATAGCCAGGGCACCACCACAGAGAAGGCCCTCCTCCGAGTGTTCTCTCTCCTAACCACCTGTAAGGAGGGTTCCCGAAGCAGAGCCCTTGCTGCAGATCTTAAGGGGCAGGAAGGCATATAGGGAAAAAGACGTTCATTCAGGTAACCTGGTCCCAAGCTGTTTAGGACTTTATAGGTCAATATACCACCACCTTGAAATGGGCCCGGACTTCAATGGGAAGCCAGTGAAGCTGATAGAGGACAGGTGTTATATGAGAATAATGACCAGCTTCCAACAGCAATCTGGCAGCTCTATTTTGAACCAATTGAAGTATCCGGACCATCTCCAAGGGCAGCCGCATGTAGAGCACATTACAATAGTCCAACCAGGAGGTTACTAGAGCATGTGTCACTGTTGCTAGGCAGTGCTCGTCCAGGTAAGGATGCAACTGATGGATCAGATGAAGCTGTAGGAAGGCGCTCCTCATCACCACCACCACCTGAGCTTCCATGGATGGCTCTGGGTCGAGGAGCACTCCTAAGCTGCAGACCTTGTCCTTTAGAGGGAGTGCAACCCCATCCAGGACTAGGCCTAAATCACTTACCTGAAAACCTGAACCACCTACCAAAAGGACCTCCGTCTTATCTGGATTGAGTTTCAGTTTATTGGCCCTCATCCAGACCATGACCTTGGCCAGGCACGGTTCAGGACAGCCATTGCCTCACCTGGACTGGTTGAAAAAGAGAGGTAGAGCTGGGTGTCATCAGCATACTGGTGACTCCGCAGCCCAAACCTCCTGATGACCTCTCCCAGTGGTTTCATGTAGATGTTGAATAGCAAGTGGGACAAAATGGAACCCTGTGGTACTCCATGGCATAACTGCCATGGTGCAGAGCCAAAGTCCCCCAGCACCACCTTCTGGAATCGGCTGTCGAGATAAGAGTGGAACCACTGCCAAGCAGTGCCTCCTACTCCCAATCCCGCTAGCCTATCCAGGAGGATACCATGGTTGATGGTATTGAAAGCCGCTGAGAGGTACAGGAGAACCAACAGGGACTAACTCCCCCTGTCCCTCTCCCTGCACAGGTCATTGTACAGGGTGACCAAGGCAGATTCAGTACCACAACTGGGTCTGAAACTGGACTGAAATGGGTCCAGATAATCAATTTCATCCAAGAGTGCTTGGAGTTGTCCCGCCACCACCCGCTCCAACACCTTGCCCAGAAACGGGATGTTGGCCACCTCTGGGTCCAGGAATGCCTTCTTCAGGACGGGTTTGCTCACCGCCTCCTTCAAAGGGAGGACTCAGCCCTCCCTCAGAGAAGTGTTAATAACCTTCTGGATCCAGGTACCGATCCCGTGTTTGGCTTTGGTAAGTAGCCACGAAGGGCAAGGGTCGAGTAAGCAGGTGGTTGGGTGTACTAGTCCAAGCACCTTGTCCACATCATCAGGCTGCAACAACTGAGATTCATCCAACAATGATGGACCTGACAAGGCTCTGGACACTTCCTGAAATGGAACCCTACCAACTGTGGAGTTCAGCTCATGACGAATCTAAGCAATTTTCTCCTTAAAGTGCCATCCTTAAATTTTCTCCTTTACTACCCTTCCATGCTTTAGTTCTGCCACATTTCTGAGATCTTAGAGCACCTCTTCCAATCCCCTGGACAAAACCAGGTATGCCAATCCTGAGAAAAAAGAAATACTCAGACCGTGTGTAGTTTCACATTTTTAAAATTCCTCTAATCCTAGTATATTGTGACTACAGAGATAAAACGTTTACTTGGAAAAATTCTGTATATCATTGTAGAAAACATATTTGAAATGAAAGTAATTAAGTGTTCTGAAATGATATACATGTCCTATTGGCCACCTGGTGATAAAATATTGCTATCGTGACCAGTGTCAGTTCTAGTGGGCCCCAGCAGTGCCAGTCCAGTTGTGGATGCAGCCATTCTCTGGGTAGCCATGCCAGAGATCCTTGTGCTTTGGCGCTGAGGTCCGTTCTTAGCTACACCACTGCTGCTTAGCAGCAGCTCTACTTCTAGGTGTCCTATAGGCTCCTGAGAACAGTGCTCTGAGAATCCTCTAGAGTTCTAAAAGGTTTCCATCTGTCTCCATTTTTTAAAATAAATGCATGACATCACTGCATGAAGTCATGCAGGAGACCTGAGTTCCTTACTTAAAATTACCATGTGTAAGATTGTATAGAGATTCCGATGTGGTTTAGGAAATGGCCATCTCTTTCTTGAAGAATGCAGCTAATTTTCAGGCAAAATGTCATGCTGTTGTTGGGGAAATCCAGACTAAATCCTGGTAGAAAAAGGTTGCTTATAAGGGCCTTTGCATTATAAAATCAAACCTGTGGCCCTTTCTCAGAAAGCAGCAGAATTCCAAGCCAGGTTCTGTTTAATATTGCTGTTACTTTAAGATGGAATTCTTAGTTGGACTGAGAAGCTGCTGTAGGCTAACACTATCAGTGGGAAAATGCTGGTGTTCCCATCTACTGCAGGCAACTGAGACAAAGGTGTCCATTTGTTTCTGAATGGACCCATTTAATCATCAGAGTTGATGATTCAACTCTCAAGTTCAGCAGAGGCAAGTACCTGTGCAAGGTAGTTGTCAAGACAATTTTTCTGAATGGTTCCTCAATCGGACACATTTGCATGTTAAAGGAGACACAGAGGCTGATCCAAACTGTCCGGAATTCACTGAATTGACTTGTCAAATAAGGTTCAGTCCAGGACATTTTCTATTCTATTGTCACTGCCATTTCTGATCAGTTTAGAGTATTGTTTTTTGTGTATGAAGACATAAAGATGCTATTATGTTAACATAACATTCGGGCCAGGTCGACTCATATTATATTGTTTTATACTGTGCTTATTTATTTATTATTGTGAGCCGCCCCGAGGCTTCGGCGAATGGGGCGGCATAGAAGCCTTCTAAATAAATAAATAAATAAATAAATACTCTGGAAACCTAATACTCTGTATGTGATCGGAAGGTTATCAAAATGGCTGTACATGGGCTGTGACTTTGTAGTTGGCAGAGAGGACGGCTACCTGGTAGCATGCTGTTGTAAGTAACTGCAGGGGGCCTGGGCGTTCTCACCAGTTAAAATGCTGGGGTTCAAAGTGATGATTCAGTCTTTCCTGCCGGTCTGAGTGCTCATTCTCACCATTGGTAAGGAGACTCTGACACTATCTACTGTAATAAGAGTATATATAATATCTGAAAATAAGGGCCATGCAGCAATTTCAGAGGGACTAAACAGCATTTAGTTTTTGAAATGCAAGAAGATCATACTTTACAATGGTTTACATGACATGCATGCTCATATGCCAAGTCATGTATGCACACATGCGCTTACACACACACACACAATACATTCAGGGATCTATATTCATACACTAGCATAGATTTATAGTGATTTTAAGCATGATGATTCAGATGTTATGCATTATTAATCATTATTCCCATTTACCCCAGTGGAAATATACCTGTTGTGTCTTCAGGAGGTTCCTGAGCAGTGACCACAGGCAGCAGCCAGTCTAGATAATAGGAGAAAATATTGTTTGCAGTCTGTGATTTACATAAATTGACATAAGGTAATTGTTACGAATTAGTGAAGGCCCATCCCTGACCCATCTGCAAAGATGGAGCTGCAGAATCCGGATTGATGGGCTGTCTCTACTTTAAGTATCTGGAACACATCACAGGCCGAACTAGATATGGCAAAGCAGTTCTGTGACTGTACATGGGGGCGGAGTTTGCTAATTTTTGTAGGGGGAATGGCACTGTGGGAAGTCCGCCTGGCACTGTCGTTACTGATTTTTTGGCGCCAGGTAAAGACCTTTTCATTTAAACATCATTTTAATTGTTAAAATATATGATCTGGCCAGGGCAACTTCTTCCTTCTCTTTTCTCCTCCTATATTATTTATTTACTTATTTTATACTGATAATTTTAATTTTATATTATTATGTTTGTAACTCAATGTATTTTTTGTATTTAATGGTAATTTATTATGTTCTATTGTATTTCAATGTATTTTATTGTGTTGTAAGCCGCCCCGAGGCTTCGGCAAGGGGCAGCATAGAAATGTTATAATCTTCTTCTTCTTCTTCTTCTTCTTCTTCTTCTTCTTCTTCTTCTTCTTCTTCTTCTTCTTCTTCTTCTTC